GAGAGAGGTGCTAGAGACATTAAGGAGGGAGAGACTTTATGTGAAGTTATCTAAGTGTGACTTCTGGTTGTGCGAGGTGCAGTTCCTTGGGCACCTTGTCAACCAGAAATGTATTTTGGTTTATCCAGACAAGATAGAGGCAGTGATGCAGTGGGAGACTCCGAGGTCTCCAACTGAGATTCAGAGCTTCCTGGGGTTGGTAAGGTATTACAGGAGATTTACCCATGACTTCTCTAAGATAGCAATTTTGTTGACCCGACTGACTAAAAAGTTGGTGGTGCTTCACTGGGGTCCTGAGCAGCAGACAACCTTCGAGACGCTCAGACAGAAACTGTGCAAGGCGCCAATTCTCACCATGCCAAAGGGAGTAGATAAATTTGTAGTCTACTATGATGCTTCGATCACAGGTTTGGGAGCAGTGTTGATGCAGCGGGGGAAAGTGATAGCTTATGCCTCACGACAGTTGAAGACTCACGAGACTAACTATCTGATGCATGATTTGGAGTTGGGGGCGGTGGTGTTTTCCCTCAAGATTTGACGGCATTAACTCTACGGGGTCTGTTGTACTATTTACACAAACCACAAGAGTTTGAGGTACCTCATGGATCAGTCGAATCTGAACATGAGACAGCACCGGTGGTTAGATGTGGTTAAGGAATACGACTATGAGATTCTCTACCACCCAGGCAAAGCCAACGTAGTGGTCGATGCCCTAAGCCATAAGAAGGCAGCAGCCCCGATCTGAGATATCTATCCGAGGATGATGGTGACTACTCCACTACTGGAACAGATTCGAGAGATACAAGTGGAGGGCCTGAAGGAGGAGCGCCGGAAGTGCGAGAGGATTACAGGCCAGGTGGCCTCCTTCGATTACAACAGTAGGGGACTATTGACCCTATATGGGAGTGTTTGGGTGCCGTACTGGGGCAGAGTGTGGTAGGTGTTGATAGATGAGGCCCACAAGTCCAGGTTCTCCATCCATCCGAGAGTGACGAAGATGTACAGAGATCATCGCCCAGTCTACTACTAGCCCTGCATGAAGTGGTACATCATCTGCTACGTTGAGAGATGCTTGAACTGCAGGAAGGTCAAGGCGAAGCACCAGAGGCTGCATGGCAATATGCAGCCATTGAATATTCCCATGTGGAAATGGGAGGATATTACTATGGATTTTATCACTAAGCTTCCTAGGACTGCATGTGGAGTCGATTCGATATGGGTCATCATGGATCGGTTGACCAAGATCGCACACTTCATATCGATACAGGAGAGCATCTCAGCCGAGAAGCTGGCTGAGATTTATGTGCGAGAGGTAGTAGCACGCCACGGGGTGCCGTTCTCAGTAGTGTCAGACCGAGATGTCCATTTTACTTCCAGATTTTGGAAGCAGTTTCATGATGAGATGTGTACTCGTCTCCACTTCAGCACCACTTTCCACCCCCAAATGGACGGATAGAGCAAGAGGACAATTCAGACTCTCGAGGACATACTTCAGGAATGCGTGCTAGATTTTGGGAGCAGTTGGGATATGTATCTTTCATTAGCGTAATTTTCGTATAACAACAGCTATCACTCCAGTATTGACCGACCTCCCTTCGAGATGCTCTACGGGAGGAAGTGTAGGACCCCAATCTACTGGGACGAAGTCGGTCATAGGGTCATGGGGAGTACGGAAGTGGTACTCAAGACCACAAGGCGGATCTAGCAAGTCCAGAGCAGCTCCAGACTACTCAGAGTTGACAGAAGAGCTACACCAACAAGCGGCGTTCGGATTTGGAGTTTCATATGGGCGATATGGTCCTCCTGAAAGCGTCCCCTTGGAAGGGTGTTATCAGGTCTCGAAAGCAGGGAAAGTTGGGCCCCAGATTCATTGGTCCGTTTAGAGGTTTGTCCCGGGTGGGTCGGGTTGCTTATCGGTTGTACCTTCCAACAGAGCTCAGCCAAATCCACAACACGTTCCACATTTCCCAGCTGTGGAAGTGTTTGGTGGATGATTCAATAGTTGTGCCCTTGGCGGACATTTAGGTTGATGACAGCCCGAATTAAATTGAGAGACCAGTGGCGATCATGGATCGCAAAGTGAAGGAGTTGCGGAACAAGAAAGTTGAGTTAGTAAAGGTGAAATGGCAGCATCGGAAGAGTTCGGAGTGGACGTTGGAGCCTGAAGAAGAGATGATCGTGTTGGATTAGTGTCTAAGTCCATAACTATTTTGGTATGTACTTGACCCGATGGTGCATGGTCCTTTTGGGTTGCCTTCACCAAAGCAACTTGATAGGATGAATTATGGAGAGTAAGGATTAAATATGATTTATTAATGTATTATGAGAATAATATATTAAAGGAGAAATCATATTGTTTAATTAATATTAGTCAATAATTAATTGGTAATTTGTTTTGTGACTAAAAGAGATTAATTAAACTTAAGGGACTGGAATTGTAATTATAGGATAATTGCAATTTGGGCCATGGATTGTCTTGTATTAAGGGATGGACGAATTCTAATGGGAAACCCTTAAGGAAATCGTCCATGGGCTTGATAAAAGGAGTCTATGGGTTGCTTAGGGCTTAAGCATCCACATTAGGGTTTCCTTGTTAGATAACCCTAATAGCCCAACTATATAAAGACCCCTTAAGGCTCAAAAAAGGGGCTAATGATCTTGCTAGGGTTTCTACACGTTTTTGGTAGCCTCCATCCTCTCTCCTCTTCATCCTCTTGCTTATGGTGTTTGTGAACCATTAGAGGAGTGACACTTGTGACTCTAAGCCTTCCAAAGTCAATACAAGGAGATTTGGGATTGTTATTGCTACATAACAATCAAGGTATGATCTTAAACCTAATTACATGTTAATATGATTACTTGCATGCTAGAATTAGGGTTTATAGTCTTGGATTCAAAGCATGTACAATAGAGAAACCTAGATCCAAGCATTAGGGTTTGTATGAGAACATAGGATGTCTTATGAACAAAACCCATCAGATCGGGCAGTACCCAGAGTTGTTTTCATATTCGGCAGACTTCGAGGATGAAGTCTAAGACAAGTGGGGAACAATTGTAGCGCCCCATTTCGGTATGCTTTTGAGTTGTTAAAATATTCATTTTTTAAAAGCTACTCGACGACTAGAAACCCTAACTCATCAAATTATGTCAGATTTGGACGCGGGTCTTAAGTGACTTACTCGGCGAGTCGAAGCCTTGACTCGACGAGTAGTCCAGTCAGGGGAAAACCCTAATCTTTAGGGTTTGCACCCTATTTAAGCATATCATTATAGGCCTCCACCCTAGCCCCCATCACCTATTCAACTCACTCTCGAAACCCTACTTAGACTTGTGTAATATTGACCTAGTTCTTGCCATTTTTGTGATCTAAATCTTGAAGAAGGAAGCAAAATCTTGGAGTTTCAGAAGGAAGGTTGAAGATCCAGAGATAGGGGCTCAGTTCTGTCTTCATAAAAGTATAAAGCTTATACCTTGGCTGTTATCCATTTAGATCTCCTTTCTAGCTTGAATGTTGTGATTTTTGGGGCTATTCTCAAAGTCATTCCAAGATTTGAACACTTGGGGATGATAGGACTTCAGATCTAGGCACTATTAAGAGTTAGAAGCTCAAAGTTGCCACCTTTATTCGGCCATGACTCTATTTTATGCCTTAGACCTTCATTTCTAGCTTGTATTGGGTGTTTTAGCTTCATAGCTTCATGCATGCACGTAAAGTTAGAAACTTTACATGTTATGATGGCCTAAGGAGTCCAGATCTATGAGTTAGAAGCAGTGGAATCATTCAGAATAGAATATATGGTTTAGCATGCAAGGGACTCGACGAGTCGGGTCAAAGTCCCCAAACCATTTTCTGGTTATAAGTGAAACCACTGAGTTAAGGAGATGACTCAGTGTGTTGGACACGATTGGGACTCGGAAGCTGAAAGAACTCGACGAGTCCAAAGAGAGACTCGATGAGTAGAGTCGAGATGTCTCGATGATATGACAGATTGAACTCGATTAGTCGGTAGTGGGACTCGGCGAGTCGACGTAGCTGGCCACAGGTGGTCAATCCCGGTACTTACCAAGTAGGGGATAACTCGACGAGTTGGGTCGACTAAGAGTTGACTTTGACTTTGACCAGGGGTAAAATGGTCATTTTACCCTATAGAATAGTTATTAGTTTTTGACTAATTGTCTTCATGAAATTATAGTCGGAAAGTCATCAGAGCAGCAAACAGAGATTTCTCACCCAAATTTTCAGTAGTCAGACACGTGATGTGAGTTTTTCTCCAGTAAGAACGGGTCTAAGGCACAAATGTCGACCCATTTAAGTAGTTGTAGTATTCCGCGGTTAGCCCGATGCAGTATGTATATTCCAGACTACGGTCTGATGCCGGGGTAGTCCCCAGAAGTAGTTAAGTATGTTTGATGTCTTTGTGATTCATGCATGTTGTATGCCAGTGTATGTGTTATATGTTGTATGTTCTGGGCTTCGGTCTGATGCCCGGGTGAGCCCGATGCCCAATGTGGTCGGATGTCGGGGTGTTCCCGATGTTGGGCAGGAGTTCAATGCTAGGTAAGCCGATGTCGGGATTCGTCCCGATGCAGTTGGGAATAGTCCCTGAGTTCTGTGATTGTTATATGTTATGTATAAGGTATGTGGTACTTTGGGGGAGCTCACTAAGCTTCGTGCTTACGATTTTCAGTTTTGGTTTCAGGTACTTCAGCTAGCAAAGGGAAGGGCTCGGGTTGATGGCATGACATACACCATAGTCTTTTGGCCTGGGAGATCACTTTGATGTTTATGACATCTTTTGATTACGTTATGTGACATTGTGTTTTGAGATACATGATATATGCTTTATGATTTTTATACTATGGTGATGAGGTTTATGTTTTGATAATGATTTTAAAAATAAACTTTTTGGTCCGTATTTTTGGGATGTTTCATATAGTTATTGTTATTGTTAATTAATTTTTTAAAATACCAATTGAATATAATACCAAAATCAACAAAATTATAGTCTAAATTCAATTGGTTTGGGGAACTCACTAAGCTTCGTGAACCATAACTCATTCGTTTTAAGTCGGATTTTGGTATTACATTGCGAACCCTCTGCTCGCTGTAAACCTCAATGTAGCCATTCTTGTCTCCGATTCTGATAGTAGAAGTTTCCTTGTATTCATTCCTTTTTCCACTCTTTCCGTTCTTCCACTGAAAGTCTCCGGCGGACACCTTCTCCGTTGTCGTTGCACGTCCATAGGAACCCGTCTGCTTGTCACTGAAAGCTACTCGGGTTTTGTTCTCGAAACTACCTTCGTCGACGGTTGTTTCCATTGGTAAAGTGAGGATGGTTCCGAGGTAAGCGACGTTCTCCATCGATTTTGACTCAGATGAACCGGAAATTTCAGATACTTTCTCCATCATCGGCGATCTGTAAGAAACATATCCGGAGCAAAAATAATACAAAAAGCTTAAACGAGCAAAAGTAAAAGACAACAGATCGTAATGTAAAGTAAGGGAACAGGAATCGAACATAAATGAACAATTGGGAGAATCAAAAAGCGTTCAAAACAGATCATGAAAATGAACCGTAAAATCTACACAAAATCACTGAAATTCATATGAAAAAAGGAACTGCGTTCATCATGCGAAACTAAATAAGGAAAAACAAATAGTGTATTGAATTAATAAAGTTAAACTAATCAATCAGAAAACTGGAATGATAAAGAGCAGGAAGAAATAGAGGATGAAGGTGTGAGGGATTATTTCTATTTTCTAGCGTGGATTACAGAGAAAGCGACAAAATAGGGAGAAGATAGAAAAGGCTAGTAACGGAACGGATTGTGACACCGTCCGTACAGTCACGTCGCTGCAACAGAGATACGTGGGTGTTGCAAACTGTATAGCAAACTGTAAAATTGTTATAGTCTTCCATATACGAACAAATCATGATTTTTCTCATAAAACACATCTTTAAAAGTTTTCTGTAGAAATATTCGGAAGTCATTTTAATTTTTAACACCAAAATAGAACTTCAGATTGTTATACGAAGTCTTGTATCAAATAGTTATGTTCCAAGCTGATTTGAGGCTTGATTTAAGTCGATATGAGGTCCGAGATATAACCAAATATAAGGCTTTAAAAGATATATAAAATTATAATCAGGTAACTAAAACTTAACTATAATAAGATTTTACAATTGTGTTAGAACAAGGTACATGTACAATTGAAACCGGAACATAAACGAAAGTAAGTGATGAGTAAAGATTTGTCGTCTCATTGTTGTTCCCATATTTCCATTACTAGAAAGATGTGGAAATCAGAATTTAATCGTGTCATGTTGGTGTGCTTTTCACAATGTTTTGTTTTAGTTCAAAGGCCCCAAATCAATAACAACCACTTTGATTACTTTCACATCTCGATTAGCATGTTCATGTCATATACTAATAGATAATAAAAATGGTATTCATGTAAAAAATTCATAACCATGTTCATGTCATATACTAATAGATAATAAAAATGGTATTCATGTAAAAAATTCATAACCAAGAGGCATGACGTTATTGTATATTACCAATACCATTGACACATATACCATTTGAGATTAACATTGAAAGAGTTTCGTTTGTAGCCCTTGTCATGTTTTCCATTTATAGAGTTTTGCCACAAAGGTTTTTGAATTTGGTAGAATTAGTCTCTATAACTGTTAAAATTTATAAAAAGTATCTTGTAAAGTTTATTTTTTACAAAAACAATCATATGTCTAACATTTTTATATGTTGGCTTGATTCTTATGTAGAAAATAAATTACAAAAATTATCCATTTAATTACAATAAATGTCATTGTGCATTTTTTTTTACAAAACGGGTCATATATTAAAAAAATACAAAAATAGTATTTGTTTAATAGAAATTTTACAAGTTTAATCCCTACAATATCCTACATCAATAAGTTTGGTCCCTCAAACAGTTCACACAAAACGATAAATGATTAATAGTATATAGTAAGAAAAACCTCACCTACATTCCCGCAGGAATGAGGTAATTTATTGTTACATATAAATAAAAAGGCTTCTATGACAATAACCTAAAAAAATTAACGTTTAAATTGGTATTTTGATATTTTCGTTGCACATATCATAACATTTTTCTAAAGGTACTTTAGCAACTTAGATCTTCTCAATAAATTCAACAAATCTATGAGACATTTTTAATGAGTATAAAGCTCATATGGTATAGACAAGACAATGATTACTTTATTTAGGTTGTTGATGTTAATAATAACATATATAATATTTTAATATGAAAAAAAGTTAATAACATATGTAATTTTTTATTTTTTACAACTTAAAACTATTTGGGTTTATAATTGTTTTCTTAATACTACGATAGATGTGTGATATGATGACCAGTTGCATGAGGCCTTTTTATAAGACATCATGTATGCTTTTTTAGTTTTTTTGAATTGTAAGTACATCGTATTGCATATTCAATACTTGGATTTTTATGAGATTATATTGTTTTTTGGGGTGTGGGTGGTGATCTTAGGCTCTTAGCTTCACTGGAATGATTATTGATGACAATAAATTATCGGATGATATTATAGCTAAATGGAATATATTTATACTTAGAAAAGTTAATATATTCTACCGGCAATGTCGGTAGACTAGACTTTCTCACTTGTGTCAATCTTGAATATAGAGGTATCGTATTTATGTTCCTTCCATTCTTTGTACGTGTGGTTTTAGTGAAGAACGATCTTGAACACGGTTTACTTTCTTTGTACGTGTTGTGGTTCTAGGGAAGATTGATCTTGAACAGGTTTTACTTTCTTGTCATGTTGACGTCGATCTTTGGAACTTTTTTAGAAGAATGAAGAAGATGGTGTGATCTTGAGATCCCCAACACTAGAGATATTGCTGAAGCTGTGAAATGGATAGAGTTCATTCAAATTTCAAGCAACAAACATATTATTTTGGCAGCTATTATTGTAACAATGTGGTGGGTTATTTAGAATTATCATTTTTTTAGTGTTACACGTCCTAAAAGAGATTCTTTAATTGGGTTCGTGATTGATCATTCTTATTGTCAGATGGTGAATAGAAATAAGAAGTTAGACCATTACCATCCCTTATAACTACTATTAAGGATTATACTGTAATTCATTATACCTACTATTAACCATTATAGTATTAGTGTCACGTCATCACCACTAAATAGGACAAAATCAATAAGATACCCATCACTAACCATTCGACTCCACATTATATTTTTTATTAGTTTTAATTCAAAAATAAAATGAAATTATTTTTGAAAATAAAAAAAAAAAAAAACATTGATTTTTTTAATTAGTTTTTTATTAATTATTATATATATATATATATATATATATATATATATATATATATATATATATATATATATATATATATATATATATATTAAAGTTCTCAAAAAAAGGAACAGTAAAATTATCATTTTTTTGACAGAATTGGTCTCTACACTTTGCTCCTTATTCTTTACTTATTTTGACACTTTTGGTCATTGCAATCAATATTTTTACACTTTTTAGGAACCTTTTAATATTTAAAGTTTGGTCATAAAACTTTAACGGTTTGACAACTTTGATCCATTTTCTAAAAATTTGCTAATTTCTATCCTTTTAATTATTTAGCCGTTTTGACACTTCTGATCCTTGCAGTCAAACTTTTACATTTTTTTATAAAAACATGAAAAAAACGGTCTGCGTCAAAGTCCGGACTTTTCATCCTTGCACTTTCTATGTATGTTATATTTATCGCTTGGAAAACAAAATTGAAAGTTTTTAGCCCTACATAGCAGGAGTAACCTTTCTAGTTATGAAAATAAAAATACAACTTCAAACTATATTACTTAATTAAGCTAGAATTAAAAAAAAAAAAAAAAAAAAAATTACATCACTTAAATAATCTAAATTAAAAAAACAAACAAACATAAGTAAAAAAAAAAAAAAAAAAAAAAAAAAAACTAATATTCGTTCATGTTAAGTTGGTACAAATGCTCCGCAATATTTTCTCGAAGATTGAAATACGTTTTGTTGTTATGAATTTCAACAAGTCGTGATAAAAATTCATGCGTTCCGAGTACGAACTCTTCAAGCGGGATGACGACGACGTCTGGATCATATGTGCAAATTGATCGACATTGATCTTTAATGATCATATTATGCATTATGCTTGGATCATTCGTTTAATTCTATCATTATCCCAAAGTCGTATAGCGTATTCCACTATATGTCATGTCTGCTTAAGGACTCCAATTGCTCTCTCGATATCCTTCCTCGTTGATTCCTGCCTTTTTGTGTCCAACTTTTCATTTTCATTTCGAGGAGCTGAGTATGCCTTCATAAGTATAGAATAATCCAGGTATATCCATCACAAAGGTAGTAACCGTATTTGTACGAATATCTGTTCACTGTGAACATCATATCAGGTGTTTTGCTGATCCAAAGACCATTGAAAGGAGGAAACTGGCTAAGAACCTTAATGTCGTTGTTAGAACCTGCAACTTCAAAAAACGAACGTCATATCCATAAATCCTGAGATGCAACAACTTCTAGGATTATACTTGGTTCACTTATATCTCCTCGAGTGAATTGACCACAACATGCAATTTGACATATTTCCCAAACCACATGCGTACAATCTAGACTCCCAAGCATACCTAGAAATTCATGCCTCTCATCATAAGTTGGATATAATTTCTCAATATCACATGGAGTAGGTTTATGCAATATTGCTGGTGAAAAACTTTATACACACATACACAAAACCAATCTATACAATCAGTTGCGGTCCTTTCAGATACTTTCAAGTATTGTTCGTCGAATACATCAAATGTTATATCGTATCCCAAATACCTAAGCGTAGATATACACTTTTGTATACTACTAAAACTTATTCGTCCTTTAGCATCGAGTTTTTGTTTGAAAAAAAAAAATCATAACGGGCTTCTAAAACATTATTAATATGTAAAAATATAGCCTTATTTACACAGAAATGACGTTCGAACGAGTTATCATTGTAAAAACAATTATCAGCAAAGTAATTACGTATCAATAAGTCGTGTTCGGCTTAGCGATCACGATTGACGACCACCCTTGTACAAACAAAATTCAAATTTTCTTCATCGTAAAGGTGTTGCGAAGAAGATCGAGATGAATTTTCCGTCATCATCCAATTTAAAATTCTTAAAGAAATCCATGTGTTTTTTGGTTTAGAAAATAAGGGTGTAAATTTTGATGAAAAGCGAGTGTTTTATTGTGTTTATATATTTATTGAGTTTGCAAAAAAAAAAAAAAAAAAAAAAAAAAAACTTGAAAAAATGACCACTGAATAGTCATGACCACGACGCACGGCAACACACCAGGACGGTGTGCACGATCGTTGTTCGTGGCTGCATATACCACAAACATGTTTGTTTGAAGTATACCGTATGGTCTTACATGTTGTTTGGACTACGAGGTTTGAAACCACGCTTATAGCTTACATTATAAATTTAATGTTTTGTTAGGAATTTGCTAACTTTTTAAAATTGTATCATTGGTTGCTCAATTTATTTTCAAAAACTTTAACATTATATAAAAACCAATTTTTATTACTCACTATTGAAATCAAATCAAATAATCAACTTATTCATAACTCATTACTAGTTTTTTTCTTCATATATTTGACAGTTTAAAAAAAAAAATCATAACTCACATCGCTCAAGAACAAATAGTTGAAGGAAAACCAAACATCTATAATTGAAAATAGTTGGAACCATTTCCCTATATAAATATTCTCATTGCTTTTCTAACTAATAGATATTCCAAAATACGGTTCAAGATAAATATTTAGACTACAAGTCCTTTGTTTCTAGAATCTTAAGAATTGGTGTAACCAATTTCAGGAACGGTTCCAACATTTCACAAACAGCAAGTTCCAAAAAATTTAATCGACTACGTACATATTCTCACCTATATTTTCACATACACCGTGAGAATCCTCAATAGAAAGTAAACTAAAACACATCGTATAAAAATTATGTGCCTTTTATTAAAATAAATCACATTTTCTATATTTTGGAAAATGGTTAATGTTCATACATGATCGAAACAAGGTCATTAATCCTCAAATCATAAAGTACAAAATGAATCAAAATGACCATTAAAACTACACATGTAGCAACTAACCTTTGTTATTTGTTTTACAATACCAATTAACAAAAATTAAAAACAATCACTGAATATGGTTGGTATATATAATCTACATGTACTAAAATATGTAATTTATCGATTTGTATTTATATAAACATTTTTACATACCAGTGACTTGTTATAATTTTTTTATATTCATATGATTTACTCATTTAGTAGTTTCACCAATTTGTGTGTACAAGTGTAGTGGGGGGGTTAACTTAAACGTGCCTGATCATGTCATTTATTTACACCGTTACGCCAATCCTCGCCTTCTCCTTCTCCTGCACGATTTGTCCCTTCCTCTAACCTCACTACAAATAACCCCTCACGCCTTCCTACTTTTCTTCATATTCACCATAAATCAACGAAGGTACTCTCATCTTCTTCATTTAACACTTGTTTCTCCTTCAGTAGTTTTGCATGATAAACACGTTTTTCCTTTTCAATACACATCCCAATGATCGGATTTCAAAAACTTTGTTCGTAAATCGTAATGTATTTACTGTGTTTTCTTACTACTTTCATGTTTCAACACTCGTTTCTCCTTCTGTAGTCTGTAATTTTGCATGATGAACATGTTTTCCTTTCAATATACATCTCAATGATCGGATTTCAAAAACTCTGTTCATAATGTTTTTGCTCTGTTTTCTTACAGATCAGTGAAAATGACGAAAGGATCGAAAAAAACTTCCGGCTCCTCCGCCCCAAAACAGATTGCTACTGTCGGGTACATCTCGAGTCTCCCGGTGAAAACCACTGTAACGTTCAAAGGGGGGAAAGGAGGAGGCGAAGGGAGTTACGTGAACAAATCCCGTGTAAGTTTCGCCGATAAGCAGACGGGTTGCTACGGCCGAGCAACCACTAAGGAGAAGGCGTCGGCCGGAGAGTTTCAGTGGAAGAATGGGACTAGTGGAACGAAGAGTGAGTATAAGAAAAGTTCCACAGTCAGAATTGGAGATAAGAGTGGATACACAGAGGTTTATAAAGAACAGAGGGTTCGCAATGTGAGTTACAACAACAATAACAACAGCAAGAAGCTCATAGCCTTTGACAATGGCGATGGTGGCGAGTATGGTGGGTATGGGTATGATTCTGACTACTAATCTGGTGGTTTTTGTTTATAGTTTGTGGGTGTTCTTGGTAGTTGGTTAATGGTATGGTTTATGTAGGTAATGAGTAATGGGTGTGTTTTAGGTTTGTTTTTGCAATGATCATCTTTTGTTTCTGGATCTTTGTTTATCAATATATATCTATATAATGGTTGAATTGTTTGTTTTTGTTCGAACGTCAAAAATTTGGATTACTTTGTATGATGCTAATAGTATTAACTATAAAGATTATATGTATGTCATGCTACCAAAAGTCGCAAACTCTTTAAAACTTAGATAGGCATTTGAAATGCAATGCTAGAATATGATACTTAATAAAAATGTTTGCGTTTGATATATGCGATGTTTAAGTATTACGATTGTACAAAAACAAGTTCCTATTCTTTCACTCTTATGTTGGTAATCATAAAATTATAATCTTTTTGTAAAGAATTATAATATAAAAATACTGTTCTTTGTTTTAGTTCATTGTGGACGTGTTCCAAAACAATGTTTTGGTTTCTTCATATAAAGTTCTTTGAATATTTATAAGAATCTTAAACCAACAAAGAATATTCTTTCTATATTTCGTAAATGCATCGTAATAGCACTTAAATTTAGGCATCTAGAAAATAACCAAAACCGGAACTATCCACCCGACCATTTTTGAATTCAGAAGATTATGTCGGGTAGTGTTTTAAAAACCGGTTAAAACCCGCCGGTCGAACTCATTTTTGAATTCGGAAGATTATGTCGGGTAGAGAGCGGTTCAACTATTATTGTTTTTACATAAATTTTCAAACCGGATTGAACCGACCGGTTATTAGAAAAACTTGATTAAAAACATTTTCAATAATACACCAAAATAACCTATTGAACATGTTAAACTAAATAAAAATACATGGAATAAAAACATTTTCAATAATACACTTTTGTGGACTTCTTCACACCTATTTAGATTTCTCTAATAAAAGCATTTTGTAAATGTTATAATGTTTTTTGATGCATTTGTATTCATCTAAAATATATATATATATATATATATATATATATATATATATATATATATATATATATATATATTTATAATAATGGGTCAAAAACTTCAATTTATACTTACTAGGGCCAAAAATATCAACTTATAGACAATTGGGCCGAAGATGTCAATTTTCATGATATCGGACAAAAATATCACTATTACAAAAATTAGGCATTTATGTTATTTTGGTAAACAATCGAACAAAAACAAACTACATAATAACAAACGGACTAAATACATTGATTACATGTTTATTGGGCTTTAAGGGTCAATTTACATGCTTATTGGGCCTAATACTTACCTTACATGTTTATTAGGCCTTAAGGGTCAATTTACATGCTTATTGGATCCGGATTGCACAACACATGCTTATTGGGCCTTTGTGGCCCATTTACATGCTTGTTGGGCCTATACTATGCATTACATGTTTATTGGGCCTTAGTGGTCCTCCTATATGTCCGTTAGGCCTCATACATTCACATACATACTCGTTGGAGTTTTCAAATATAAAGCATACTCGGAAAAACATTATACATTACATGATACCATATTCGCGTAAACACAGTTAAAGATCTAGTGAGACATGTTGGTTGACACCTCTGAAGTGTATGATCGTAGCCTGTAGTTATAACCAGAGTCTCCTGGAGGGAGAACAAGAGTTTGTGTATAGATCTATACGAGGTGACACCCCACACCTGAGCTGTTCGCTACAGTTAGACTAGGCTAGTCTAGGGTAACAAACCTTAACTTAATCAAGTCGGCGCCTGAAAACGCCACGACAGGCGAATTCGTCATAATCAAGTATGGTTAAAACGGCTCACCTAGAGATTCTCTCCAACATAATTTTATGGAACACCTATAAATTCTTGTTGATACGAAAACATACATACACTGATATTCGGTCTTAGGATTAAGACCACAACACTCTTATTAACACAAAATATAGGATTTTCTGGGGAAATACACAGTTAAACAATACCTTTACTTACAACAGAAAATACAAGATTTTTAACCGGATTACATCTTTATATACATTCCAAAAATAGAAAACACACATGCATTAATACTTGGTTTTGGCACATCACGTTCAAACTATTTTTCAGAAAATATTGGATTTTCTGGTGTTTTACTAACAATACAAAAATTTTCATTCGAACATGCTTATGAACTCACCAACATTATATTGACATTTTCAAAATAACTTGTATTCTCAAGGAATCGTTAAGCGGAAAGGTCTACAAGAACATGTGGAATTTGTTGGTTTTTTTTATCACCATTTGTGTTCTAAAAGGCGTCCTATGGCACGCACCGTTACGAAAAGACTCATAACGTTGTTGTTAGGTGTGGCGTGTGGTAAGACGTGATATGGCGCGCCATGGTGCGTTTTGGCGTGTTATGGCGCATGTTTTTTCATTTGAGACACATTTTTTTCTCTTATTTATGTCTTTTCTAATCGAAGATACAAGTATTGTGGTTTTCGTTAACTTTTTGTTATTAGTTATTGATCTAACACTTCTAAAAAGTAGTTATATTCAATATAAATTTACATTTATATGGTAATAAATTTTTTTAAATTAATACAAAATAGCCGCCTTACATCACGTCTTGAAAAATGCCATGCCTCGTTATGCTTGAGGCTTGGCCTTGCCACCCCGCCACGCCTCACGCCATTTAGAACCTTGATCATCATACATTGAACATTTTGGCATGTAACTTATAATACTATACTTGATGTAAACAATGTTGGTTGTATTTTGAGATGTATGATGATGGTGTTGTCTTCTTTCAATTATATACATTGTGATGATATTACAAGACGAAGTTACGTACAAGCCCCTGGATGTTTCCGTCGTCTGGTTCGGGGTGTGACAGATTGATATCATAGCATTGTTTATAGTAAACTGGCATATCTAATCATACTTGATATGTAACAATAAATACAATGGGACTAAAAAACTCTGAATAAAATGATACCTAGGTATGCATTAAAAAAGTATATATAACACTAAAAGTCTCTGGAGGAAATTGAAAACTATGATTAAAGCAGGTTAGTTTTGTAGTCATATTGGGGATAAATATAGCCTGATAAACTATATTTATTGAAAATATGACCAACATGTGTTTGGGAGTAATCATGGCGGGAAATGGTTCTAGAAGCTTACCTCGTATCCAATACTTCTAAGGAACTCAAACTTAAATATTAAAAATACTACAGGAGTATTTTTGGAAATACTATATTCATACTCCTTTTACAATGTCTCTCACCCCTCATGCAGATACGATGACCGGATTTCATCACCCTGGAGATCCCTATTTCCCCCATCAAGGAAATGGAGGATGGTTAGAACCTGAGGAAGAACCAGAAGAAGAGCTTGAATAGGAAGGACTGGCAGAACCGGTAGCCGAATCAGACGAGGAGGAGGCAGTGGGCTGTGATGCAGATGACTCGGACACAGGGTCCGAAGTCATCAATCTGTTGTACATGGCCAGGTTGCCCCATACAGGATGGGCCTCAATGGTCCTACGCCCCCATAGGCACACGACATCTAGAGATGGAGCAGCCAGCAAGAGGTGTGACCCCCATTCGGTATGAACCGAGACTACTATAACTTGAGCCATAGTTGACCTGCCGACTGGGATTTGCCTATGATAGTAAGGAGGACGTGAGATATTGGCAAGAAGTCACATGCATTTGCTGGCCAGATGGTGGCCATAAGAGAAATAGTTGAGCGTGTGGAGGGGATGACACATGAGGTAGTCAAGGAGTACCAGGCGCGCTAGACAGTTTTGGAAGCCCGGCTTCGAGCCGTCGAGCACCACTTGGCTAGACTTCAGGACGCATCTACCTCGTCGTCAGCACCGCCATACCCCTCTCGTCGAAGATAGTACCCGTTCACATACTACCGTTATGGTTTCTTTTTATGTACTACCCTATGTATTTCGACTACATGATTAAGTGACTACACTACTCATGGAGTCGTTACTCTGTCAAATTTTATTTCACTGAATGTATTGTATACCTTATATAGACAAATTTTCATGTACTCAAAAGATATTCATTAATGAAAACGGCTATATATTTTATCATGATGTTGTTATCTACTATGTGTACTATTACTTTTTCTACATGTTGATTATATGCATTCACTCACTTATACACAACCAAATCACTGACACCGTGCTATAACTCATAAATCTTGAAACTAAATACATTGGATACTCAACATTTTTCCGTTCCATGACAGAAAGATGCCTCAAAGACCAAACCGCAAAAATAACACGACACCGACGCCACCTGAAATAAACTCAGCTGCATTCCTAGCGGAAGTGTCAGCTGCGGTCACTGCAGCACTGGCACAAATTCGTAAAGGAAACAACGGTGAAGGTAACGGGTAGGGAACCGGAAGCACAAATCAGGGAAAAAAATCATGGACCCACAATAATCTGTACCTACAAGGACTTCACAAACGCCAAGCCTCAAACCTTCAATGGGATGGGAGGCGTAATAACTCTGAAAGATGTATAGAATAGGTAGAATCAGTGTTTGAGATCTGCGAATGTCCGGAGGGGTGCAATGTCAAGTTTGCGGCCTACAAATTTGTCAATCAAGCTCTCTTTTGGTGGAATGGTCACATAAAGGCCATGACACTCCCGGTGGAGAACGCTATGCCATGGGAGGAGCTTAAGGAAATGTTGTTGGCCGAGTACTGTCCAAGGGGAGAAATTCAGAAAATGGAACAAGAGCTGTGCAACCTCACAGTTCAAAACTCTGACATCGATGCTTACATATCAAGGTTTAGTGAGCTGCCTCTCTTGTGTCCAGGAATGATCACATCCGAAGGGAAGAAGATTGAAAGGTTTATTTGGAGATTGACCGTGCCAATCCAAGGGAATATGATAGCAGCCAACCCAACCGCTTATGACAGTACAAAGAGACTAGCTAAGAAACTATATGACCATGGAAAAAAAAAGGGTGCCAAATCAAGGGAGGCGGAAGTTAAAAAGAAAGGTGATAACAAGAAGGGTAAGAACAACAAGCGAAAGGGGCAACAAAACATAAAGTCATCAAAGAAGCAACAAATAGTGGTTGTCCTTGCTACTACTCAAGCTACCACAACACCACATGCTCCAGCCTCTTCTACACCAAATGCTCCCAAACAAT